CTTGTCGTTTTTTTGGCATTTAATACACGATGGTTTGTAGGTATTTGCAGTGCCACAGCCATAAGAAAATATCTTTCTTTTCTCCTCACAATCGTGATAACGATGCCCCTCTCTCCTACAATTCAAGCATATCAAGGCAATTGCATCTATTTCTGCCCCCAAATCTACATCCGAAAACTCCGAAGCATCATCCAAAATATACTCTGGTACCAATTCAGATACCTGATAGCGATATGGAACTTCCTTCTGGTACCCATAGCTACGCCTCACGTCTTCCAGGAAACTTTCCCTACGTCGGCAGATATCTCGTAGCTTTTCAACCGAATCTACGCCAATGTTTAAGAGTTCGTATCTGATTTTCGGTCTTAAGTTCCTACGAAGCGTTTCTAATAAATCTTTTTCTGGCATGGGTACTTCCAAGCAGACAGTAATCCGCACGTTCGCTTCATAGAAGGATCCAAAATATTCCCTCTCTTTTTGCTTTCTATCCCTAACAGATTCTCTTAGGTCGGCGTCTGTTCGAGTATGCCGAAACTGTTTGCGCAAAGCCTCGGTGAGCAAATCCTATCTGGTACTATCTGATGTGTTATGTAAACGCCAATAAAATTCGCGGGCCTTTCCATCAAACAAAACACTAGCGTTGCTGCAAACTAGATCGAACCTTGACTTGAGCGTTTAAATCTCAATTTCCAGACGTTTTCGCGGCCAAACATTCCGGGTATTATTTTAGCTTTATTTGGCCCGAATTTGATGCCAATTCAAGGTTTATCTGCCTCTCTTTAGAGCAGATCGCGCGCCGATGTCATACGCGAATTAGAGGGAAACGGAACTAAAGCTGCGCTCGATCGAACATCTCCCCTTAGCTGTCGAACTTAAATCATTGGTAGTTTTAATTAAATCTGCTTTGTGCACTTTTAATGTGGGTGTGCGATTGGTTTTACGTACGAGCGGCGCTCAGCCGTATGATGAGCCGTATGCCCGCTCAACACAACTTTTACACAACTAAATGCTCGTAATTGCCAATTTTAAATCGGTTGCGCTGGGCTCGACGGTTGCGCTTCGGTTTGATGTGCGCGCGATGTACTGGTTGCGCCTGCGCCGACTGTCGGTTTTCTTAGCCTTGTCTTCGCTTCTTGGGCCTTGGGATTCTCGCCCATTCGCTCGCCCCAGACCACTGCACAAACGTCCGGGAATCTAAAATTTTCCCTTGGCGATTACTTTTCTTTAGACGAGTTGCACCTTTTAAACTTTACACTTCTGCTGTGAAAATGGGAAAGACTGAACCCCACGCCGGAAAGTTGGCGGTAACCTATAGAGCGATCTATGGTGAATTATAGGGAAAGTTGACACATGCCACTGTTGCTCTCCGTTCGACTTTTCACCCCTGCCAGAACCTTCTACGGCCGAGCTCTAGATGGCGCTAATAGTACCTAAGATTCCATTCCTAGATGGAGCCATAAACGTATCTTTTCCTTCGTTTTTTAGAGCAAGCGCTACATGATCAGGCTGAATTATCTCCAATGTAAGACTGGAGTTAACAGCAATGAGCACCCCACCACCCCTACCAGAAACGCGATCGATTCTATAAAAACTTCGTAGCTGGAAATCTCCGGTTTCATCCAAGTTTCTGTGAAGACTTAAATTTGTTCATTAAAAGCAGAGGAGTCAGCGTACAGCCTAGGTAGCTTCATATTAAGTCCCATTACATTTTGTTAGGCCAGAAATATAGAAGTGTTCATTTTTTTGGAACTGACTCTAAAATCGGAGGCCGATTGTTATTTCTTTGTCTTTTAGGAACAAATTCAATTATTATAAAAGCTTGTGGAGGAACAGATTTTTTGAAAGAGGATATGAGCGTATGCGAGCGTATAGAAATTTTTCAACTGTAATGTTTGGAGATAGGTATGTCGGAGAGTATGTAGTGCAGCATCTCGACAGGTATGACCATGGGTTGTGCTGGTATACTAGATATACCAGATACTAGTTTTGGTAGAATGGGGACTCAGATTGCGAGCTTAGGCCGAGTGTGGCTTCGTATGCGTTGCTATGTCTGGTCTCTCTTTTTATTTTTCTGGTTTGTAGCGTATCGTGAGATAGACACGTGCTTGATCCTTAAGAGACAATTATGAGCAACAAAGGCATCGAAGACTCGCTGCATTTGCGAGAATTAAATTCATGCAATCAACAACCAAACGATCAAGTAACCAGCAATGACGACTTAGAAGGGGATCAAGGAGATAACATCATCTGATGTGGTTTCGGGGGTAAATAATCGGAATAAAATTATTAAATAATAATCAAAATTTGGTGTATAACGCATGTTTCTAAAAAATCGTTTTTGGAGGTTATTAAGTAACAAAAACGGTTACTTTTCGCAAATCAATAAAAAGTATGGTTCACCAATTTGACGAGGAAAATGTTAAAAAACAAGTATATAACAAGTATAAACATTTGCAGCTAAAAAGTTGTTATTTCTGTTTTTCTGTTTATTTATTTATTTTCTGTTTTTTACACTTTGCAAATATAAAAAAAGGGTCCAGACGATTTGTTTTTAACTTTAACTAACCCTTGAGATTCATCAACTCTTGTTCCATAGCAATTGTCTCTAAAAGATTTTTCAGAAAGTTATTAAGCAACAGAAACGCAAATTTTCTCAGTTCGGAGCAGCCATGGCAAAAAATTTCCCCCAAATGTATGCATCACCAATTTAATGAGAAAAATGTTATAAAAAATGATTTTAAAACAGGGAAGAACAAGAGAGAACGCTATAGTCGAGATGCCCGACTATTATATACCCGTTGATCAACCAACACCCTTTAACCTAAGTATTCCTCCTACGAAACAATCGAAGTTAATGTGGCGCCATCTGTTGAACTGCATAGCCAACTCTAGAAGCTAAGAGCGTGGAGCACCCCCGCCTCCCACCAATAGTTATTTCGTTGCCGCTGTACTGCCGCGATTAGCGAGCAGGGGCCGCAGAGTCGCGGCAGTGCGGTGGCAGAGCGGTGGCAGAGAGGTGGCAGAGGACTTGTTAGCCCTATAACTTCTAAAATAATTGCTCGAATTTGAAAATTTGTGTGTCTACCTATAGATATGATCACACACAGAGTCCAACACCTACTGTCTTACATGTCTCAGAATGACAGTACATACTTTCACGATTTGTGGGCGTTAGATGGGACGTGGCTACGTTTTTAAATAAACTTGCGCTGCGTACTTTCGGAAATTTACAAAACTTAACAAAATCACAGCCGATCACAAGTGACGCTAATTTTAGAAATAAATTGAAAAGCAAAAATCGCATAACATACATTAGAATTTTTGTTTTTTATACCACGAATATTAAGCACGATTTCTTTATTTTTATTCCCGTTACTAGTAGAGTAGAAGGGTATTTTGTATTCGTATGCCCGAGTGTCCGACTGTCTTTACTCCTTTTCGTCTGTCCGTCCGTTCCATTTTTAGTAAAGAGTGTGTTAAATATCGAAAGCTGTGTAATCTCAACTGGTAACGACTCGAAAATAAAAAGAAATTTTTACTGGCGTTTTAAAAAAATCGCTCAAATGTGAACACAGAATCCCATAACTATTTTGCTTGAAGAAATAATGGAAATCAAGAAAGAAAGCAAACTTCGGCAGGCCGAAGTTCATATACCCTTGCAGCTATTGCAAGAATTAAATATTTTTTAAAACATTAAAATTATGATTTACTTGCGTATATGTCTAAAAATATTGAAGCTATGATGATTTGCAGCTCAATTATTATATACTAATTTTATATATTTTTATTATTTCTATGAGAGCTATATGATATACTCATCCGATTTCGATGAAATTTAAACCGTAATTCTCAATTATTTAACCATTACTATATGTCGAAGAACTAAAAAAAAATTAAAAAACAGCAAAGTTATAATTTTTTTTATTTATTTTTGCGATTGTTCCTATGGGAGCTATATGCTATAGTCGTCCGATCCGGCTTGTTCCGACTTATATACTACCTGCATGGAAAGACAACTTTTGGGAAAGTTTCATGCAGATAGCTTTAAAATTAAGAGACTAGTTTGCGTAGAAACGGATGGACAGACGGACATGGCTAGATCGACTATGCTCGTGATGCTGATCAAGAATATATATACTTTATAGGGTCGGAAATGTCTCTGAGTGAAATTATAATAGCCTCTGCAAGGGTATACAAATAGCCCTTTAAAGTACCTTTCAAAAGTTATACATCACACTTTTAGCAGTTTTCCCTGTAAATGGGTAGAACTAAAGTTTTAAAGCTCGAACTGCTTTATACAGTAAAATTGGTTTCTGGCCATTGATTTGATTTTACCAAACAAACAAGCGGGAGAACAAAAGTTTTTATTTAAAAACTCAGTCTCAATCTTGTTTATTAATTATTTTCTGAACGGAGTATCCGATTGGGATGATTAAGGTGTCGTTGTGTATTTAGCGGCAGAATAGGACCACACTCTTTGCTTCATCTGCCCCAATAGCTCCAATATTAAAAAAAAAAGGTCTTTCACCCCTGTTTCTCCTGAACCAATTGACTTTTTAAAAGTCTTGGTATGCAGAAAATCTTATAAAAACCAATACCTTTTGATTGCTATACCATATTTTAAGATCATCTTTGCTAGATTTTACTATTGGGGCTATGTATTGTAGTCTCCTTGCGCATACAATCTGGTGCTCATTGTCACTACGTGGACGGCCGTCCACAGTGACTGACGTCCGATCTGCGCCGTTTTCATACTTGATCTGCGTACACATAACATACGATTGCAAAAGTTTTAGCTCTCTAGCTTTTAAACTAAACTCGCAAAACACGGAATTTACTTATACCCTCTTGAAGGGTATATAAAGCCAATCTCAAATCTCAGCAGAATCTGGCTAAAGTGAGCAGAAAACTTCTTACTCAAAGGCTTTAAAGTCGAAAATTAAAAGCGGTTTTTCAATCTGGAACAAATTATTATAAATTAATTTAAACAGTTCAATGGGTAAAAATGTTAATAAATCTTTTTAATGGTGTAAAATGTGTGTTTGTAACTGATTTATATGGAGATTATTATATATAAAAAAACAAGGTCCGACCAGTTGTCGTTGTCGAATTTTTCAGCTGCCTTACTCAACCGTCACGGACTTGGCCAGGTTTCTAGGACAGTCAACATCGCACCCGCGCAGCACGGCAATATGATAGGATAAGAGTTGCATGGGAATAACGGTGAGAATTCCCTGCAGACAGTCAACGGTGCGAGGGATCTCGAGGTGCCGGGATGAGAAGGCCTGGGTCTCCTCGTCTCCCTCCTCACAAATAATAATAGGGCAGCCCTTGCGCGATGTGACCTGCTGCAGAGCGTTCATGCACTTGACATAAACGGGGTCCCGAAGGACTATCATTAGAACTGGCATGGAGTCGTCCACGAGGGCCAGAGGGCCGTGCTTTAGTTCACCGGCCATAATGCCCTCGCTGTGCATGTAGGTCAGCTCCTTGACTTTCTGAAAAGAGTATCGACACGGATGAGAAATAAAATAATTGTACGTCACGTCAAAAATTATTTCTTACCAGGGCACCTTCCAGACAGGTTGCGAAATTGTAGCCGCGACCCATGATAAGTAGCGACTTGTGTTGGTAAAGGTCTTTGGCCAGCTCTTGAACTTTTGTATCAAGCTTGAGAACTTCGCGGATTTGGTCAGCAAGCTTGGACAGCGCTTGCAGGATCTCCAGCCGTCGCTGTTGCAGTGAAAGACGATCCTCTGACATAACCAGTGCGAACATCACCAGGGAAATGAACTGCGAGGTGTATGCCTTTGTAGAGGCCACTCCAATCTCGGGGCCAGCGTTAATGTGGACTCCACAATGCGATTCCCGGCAGATACTGCTGCCTACAGTGTTTGTAATGCCCACAATCAGGGCTCCCCGCTGTTTGCAGTATCGCAAAGCCATTAGGGTGTCCGCCGTCTCGCCGGACTGCGATATAAAGAAGCAGACGTCGTCGCGGAAGATTGGTGTGTTGCGGTCCAGGAAGTCAGACGCCAGCTCGACCATGACAGGAAGCTCAGTGAGCTCTTCGAGCAGCTGCCTGGTGGCTACGGCGCTGTGGTAAGACGTGCCACACCCGATCAGCATGAGACGGCGACAACGTTTGATTTCCGGAATGTAGTCCTTGATACCGCCGAGCACAATCGCGTTACCGTCGAAGCGAACGCGACCACGCATCGTGTTGACCACAGAGTCGGGCTGCTCAAAAATCTCCTTCTGCATGAAGTAGTCATAGTTGCCCTTCATGATCTGTTGGATTTCCATCTTTAATGTAGTGATCTCACGGGCATGCGGGTCATCTAAACTTTTCTTTAGACGATGAATACTCAGAGTTCCGTCCCGAACTGCGGCCACATCGTCGTCCTAAAAACAAACAGAAAAATAAATAATGACCCAAAATAAGTATATAGCAACACAAACAAGATAAAGTTAGGAACAAATTTAAAACGGATGGTTAGTTTGTATTTGTATACATTTGTATACATTTTATTGAGTTAGAATTTCGCAAGCTGATCAGTCAATATAGTCCTGAATTTTTTTGGTATTTTTGTTATTTTGTTTACAACATCATATAGCTGACATAGGAACTATCTAATAGTTAAGCTGCAAATCATTATAACTTCAACGTTTTTAAACATATATGCAAGTAAATCATAATTTTAATGTTTTCAGGAATCCTTATTATCCTTTAATATTCTTTTATTATTCCAATTCATAAAAAAGGCTCAAGGGGGGATGTCGAAAATGATCGTGGTATAGCCAAACTTTCTGCCATATCTCAGCTTTTTGAGCAGCTGGTCACTTGTTAACTTCAACATATGTGTGCCTCCATCATCTCTCCCGCACAGCATGGCTTTGTAAAACATCGGTCGACTACTACTAATCTTCTTGAATTTTTTACTCTCATCGACCGTAGTTTCCTAAATAAATGACAAACTGACGATATTTTAACTGACTTCATTTTATACCGTAAACCATAGCCTTCTCCCTCACAAACTATCTCTTCTTGGTTTTCCTAATTTACTAAAATGGATTTCGAACTATCTTTCAAACAGAACCCAACGCGTTTTTTTAAATAATCAACTTTCATCGGTCGTAAATGTTTTTTCTGGTGTCCCCCAATGAAGTCATCTTTTACTCTAATGTATGCGGACGACGTAAAAATTTGCCTATCATTCTCTGACCAAATGTCATACCTTCGCCTACAGTTTGGCATAGATCAATTACATTATGGTGTTCCAACCATCTTGGAAACTCTACTTTAGAACGTATTACGCAGGTAACTGATTAGGTGTCCTATTTGATAGCAAGTTATGTTTCAAAAGCCATGTTTCTGTCATTCTTTGTAAAGCTAAGGGTAACCTTCATAAAACGTTGGGCCATATATACAATGTGCAGTGGAGTAATTTTTTTGCATAAGCCTTCATAGGTGAGGTGAACTCTGGCCTCCTCCTTAGCTATATAGACATCTCTGTTTCCTCAAGATTTACTCGTACTTTTCGCCCTATTCGCTTGCCAATTCGTAGATCCAACTTTTCTCTTCATAAGCCCCTTCGTTCAAATTATATTGCAGTATATCCTGTAATATCTTTGGAAAATTCTATCGGTTATAAATTCTTTTCTCGAGTCTTGTAATATTAAGCTATTTAAAATAGACTATTTTAGCATATAGCCTTGGTGGTTTAAGTTAGCAGTTCATTTTTAACTATAAATTAATAAATAAATGACTCATGAGGCTTAAAGAAAGATAATAAAGTACGTCTTCTGTAGCATATGTTTATTGAAACGTAAACATGCATTTGTTTAATCAAATGTTCTTTACTTTCTTATACATATATTAAAAAAAATAAGGCAGTCAGAATATTAAAACACATATTTATATTATAATACGTTTTTTTCAGAGTCTCGAATTAGTTTTGAAAGTTTAACTGAAGAAGACAGCAGAGCCATTAGGCCAATACGAATGACTAATAAAATTATATATATTTTAAAATAAGGTTAATAAACAGGTTTAATTACGACGACTAGGAAAATGTCTGATATAAGAATATTTTCCTCATACAATTTTGCAGAGGCGATCCCAAGGGGAATCCTATATGTTCAAAAGAAAAAAGACACACTCGACATTACCATTTAAACCGTTTCGATTAGATTTTTTTTTGAGTCATGTAATCTTCTCTTCAAATTTCTTAAATAGTATAATCAAATGCAATCCGATATAGGGGAAAGGGCACTTTCGCTCATAAAATATGGAACATAATCAAATGTCTTACCTCCAAATAGATCACCCGGTTAGTGTGCTCAATGACGGCCGAGGCATCCGATGCGAAGAAGTATTCTACTTCCTTTTCTTCCAAGGGCATAAACTCAGAAGTGCTCTCCGAACGCGGAAGGACTGGCAGTTCACGGGATTGTCCATGTGGACGAATTTCTATTTGGTTAATTTGTCATTGATGTTTCGTTGCGTTGGATGTGCAGTTGCAAATACATATTTGATTTAGCGGTGGCATTGATGTTATTGGGAGCCGTTTTGCAGTTTCACCGTGGCAATGGAAACGGAAAAGGACCAGTTGTGAACAAGCGCCGATGCGTGTGTTTAGGTTAATGGGTTTATGTGTATGTGCCACATCAGATTGGAAATACCAGCGAAAAGTAGTATGATATGCAAATAAATTTCGTGAAAGAAAATTTTAATTGTACAGGATTATTAGACTATTTAATAACAGTTTAAAATGTTGTGTAATTTTTATTAAAAGTCAACTGACTTAAGATTGTGCGGACTATTGATTTCCGAAAAAGATAAATGACAAAAATAGTTTGAATGGTAACTGATAGAAAATATTTATATTTGAATAAACCTTTTTCTTATATACTTTTTCACGAACATAATAATCATAGTTTTCTATAATAAAGATATGTAAATAAATTCCAAGGACTAAAATGATTCATCAAATGTTTCTTAATTGCATTGGCTCGGTTCTATAATTCTAATATAAATGTCAATAACTTTAGCAAATCGAGGCCTGACACAGACTGCTTTTCATTTTAATAACGTGTACAGGTAAGCTGGCCAAAACCAAGCAAGCAAATGTATTTGAAATTTGTGTAAATTGTGTAAAATAATAATGTTGTAGTTACCTTGAGGTTTGCCAGGGTCAGCATCTAAACAAATGCAAGAGGTAGAAAGAATATATGTAAGTGTTACGTTAACAATTATTTATTCAAGTTTAGAATTATTAGAATTAGTCAAAAAAGGCGAGAGGTAGTTAGCATGTTTATTTTAGTATATAGTAAGCCCGCAGCCCCATATTATCGATTTAAAAAGCAAACGGGCTAGTCAGGTGACTACCTTGATCGAGGTTTTGCTTCTTGTCATCTTTGGTTCGACATCGACGCCAAGAGCGGCATAGTTGCAGCAGGTAGGACGAAAGGTGGGTGACAACAGGAGAGTTCAAGATTGTAGTTGGTTATTACGCAGTAACGAACACACAGACAGTTAATTACATAAAGATAGAAGACAAAAGATATGCCTATTGAAGGAACTGCATTTGGGAGAGCAGCGATAAACGAAGACCCTCTGGTCCACTTACCTTTTCCGTATAGAATTGGGATGTGGTCTGTGGCAAGACGTGTCTTTGTCTTGATTCCTACCAGAAGGGGAGAGCTACGCCGCGAGGCCACACACTCTCCAGGAAAGTGCTTGGACTTCACCGCAATAGCAAAGGCGCCTTCCTGCAAATTTCAGGTGGTCACTGACTGAGAGTTGCTCCTTAGCTACGACAAAAAACAACTTACCACTTGAAGGATGGCCTGCTCGACCAGCTCGCGGAATGAGTACGTGGGGTGGGTTTTCCACAGATGGTGCACCAGCTTCGCGAAAACCTCCGTGTCCGTGTCTGACTCGAACTCGTAGCCGCGCTTTGCCAGAAAAGTCTTCACGTCGTTGTAGTTGGTGATGATGCCGTTGTGAACCACAACAAAGCCGTTTCCGTCGTCAGAGCGGTGTGGATGGGAGTTCCTCTCGCAGGGAACGCCATGGGTGGCCCAACGGGTGTGGGCAATGCCGATGTGGGTCAGCACGGGCTCGCTGTAGTCTCCTCCACTGAAGTCTGTACAATATGGTCGCAAAAATGTTTGGTTGTTTCTCCTATTTTAAAAAATAACACAGTACTCACGCTCCTGGATTGCCTCCTCAAGGACTTTCACCTTCCCGGTGCGCTTGACCATTACGATGTTTTTATTATCGGGTGAGTCGATAGCTACGCCAGTGGAGTCGTATCCGCGATACTCCAATCTCTTCAAGCCTGTGACCAACAGGTCAAGCACCTCTTGACGCGACTTGGGCGTCAGATAATTCAGATAGGCAAAGATTCCTGTTTTTTGTTTTTAATACGGTGTGAAAAACATTCATGTTCTATTAGCAATCCAAATTTGAATAAAATATTTTTTAAAACGTCTAAACATTGATTTGTATGCTTAAAACAATAAAAATAATTGAAAAACACCGAGTTTTTATTTTTTAGTACAATTTAATTACACTTTGCAAGCGTATGCTGACATAAAAGTAAAACATGAATAAAACTCTTTTTTTTGACAATTTTTGTACTATAAAATATCTGATAGCTTAAGACTAAACAGCTAGCAACTGGGGAAAATTATCCTATAGAAACGATTGTCTAATTTAATAATGAACTAATTTTGACTGTGCTTGCCCAAGCCTTGTTCCCTTTAATTTTATTTTTTACCAACTTAAAACCTTTTTATATATTAAACGCACGTTGTACATTAAACATTTGGTTTGTTAACAGACTACTTACCACACATTTTTTATGATATCAGTTCAATTTGAAGTATAATCTTTGCAGATATCTGTAAAAAAAGATACAGTAATTATTTATAGGTATTAATAATGGGAAAACCTACGCTGTAATTTGGAAAGCATTACAAACTAATTTACAAAATAAAAAACCAAATAACAACAAATGTTATTGCGAAAACAATTCGATTCGTCCGTTTCTATGCAAAATAGTCTCTCAGTTTTCTGACGACTATATCATATAGCCCCCAGGAAAAAAAAATGAAAAAAAAATTATAACTTATCTGTTTTTAATTTTATTTAGTCAGTTTTTCGATATTTAGTGGTGGTTTCTTGCTTAAGAATTATGGTTTAAATTTGATTCAAATCGAACGACTATGTCATACAGCTCCTCTGAAATAAACCGGAGTGTTAAAAATATTAATTTTAACTCAAGAAAAATCTGACATCTATTTACAGTAGAAAGTTTAAAAGGTTTGAAAGTTTATTCGGTATCGACAGATTTTAAACGAATTAATATATAGTAATACATAATTTAATCGACAAAAACGGCTTCTTTCCAAATCTTATTCTACCCTTGCAGCGGGAATTATTATCTAAGTAAGAAGTTTGTAATCAATATTCAGTTGATTTTGCTGTTACAAAAATAGTGCCGAAAACTAACGTTCGCGCGGAACACTTATAAGATCTATCGTCGGATCACTAACCGATCTTACTTTACCTCAGAAAGTATGTTAGTACCCTTATTGATTACTGCCCAATCGTTTCTTTTAAAGAAGACATTGGCAGCTCAGTAGATGCGTTAGTGTCTGTTATGTCACTGGCTGCATAATAATAATAATAATAATAACGTGTAATTTTTTATTGTTTAAAAATTATTAAAGGTCTTTTTTATCTTCTCAATTTTTCCATGCAGCCGTAATAGCTTTAGTTTTATGTGTGTTTCTCCTTATAAATAATAAAAATAAATAAGTAAAAATACATAATTGACATATGTCTCAATTCAACATGGCCTTTTTCAAATCATACTGGCCGCTGTAGTTTCTCAACCCTGCCATGTTAAATTACCACATTTTTATGTCAATCATGTAAAATTTTACATGAATATTGTAGGCATTTCACAAAAACTGTATGCCTACTTTTAGGCACAACCAAACAAAGTGCTTTTAGTTCTTCTGAAAATAAAAATAAATAGAATTCAGTTCGACAGTTATTTAGAAGATAGGAACCCGTAAAATCGTCCTTTTTGAGGTTTTTTTTTCTCGAAAACTGAGGGTGAAGGAGAAATTCCAAGAATGAGAACTTCTTCAGCCAACCGAGATTTATCAGGCCTGTATAGTCGCACCAATGCATTTTTTCATCAAACTCTATTTGTTGCACAGTGGAATGAATATAGACCTATATCTTTTTTGCCATTTCTTTCTAAGGTCTTTGAACAATTAATGGGACAACAGATTAATCAATTTTTAGGCCAAAGTTCATGTGCAACAACCAATTCTGGTTTTGTACTACTGCGATATTAGACATAACAGAGAACTTCAGAACACAAACTCGACAGTAATAAGATACCATTTTTAGCTTTATTGGACTTAAGCAAAGCATTTGACATGGATAGCCACGAAAGCCTTCGCACAAAACGTCAGAAATTCTTTAACTTTACTTGTACTGCTGTTAAACTCATATTTACATACTTGAGTGGACGAATGCAAGATGTTTTTACTGACATTGGTTGTTCGGAACCACTGACACTTAAGCGTGGTGTGTCTTAAGGCTCTGTGCTAGGTCCGCTTTTGTTTTCAAAGTATTTGAATGATATGCTGACAAAATTGTCTAATTTTAGTGTTCATTTGTATGCTGACGATGTTCAAATGTATGTTAGTTGTCCTATAGGTATAAAATAAGACTTTGTAGATATATGTAACGATGAACTGTCAAATGTTAATAAGTGAGCAACAAACAATGGTCTTTCGCCTTATCCGTATAAATGTAAATGAATAATGATAAGTAAAAAATCATCCAGAATGAGATCTTCAATTTTTTTTTATAAAAAAAAAATTATTCTTTTTAGAAAACAAATAAAAAATGAAAAGTTATCTTTAAGAAATGATATATATTAGCCTACAATCAGTATGAAGTATTTGTTATTGTTTATCGAGAGAAGAATCGAAGCAAACATCTCAGGGTCGAAGTGATATACCCTTGCAGCTTTTGCAATGAATAAACATTCTTTATATCAACTATATTTTCCGATGTAATGAAGATAAGCTGTGATAATTTTCTGAAAAATGACACTGGCTTACTAATTTAATTCGTTAAAATCTTCCCGAGATCAAACCTTGATTTTCCGGTACAGATGCACTCCCTGGTTAAATAAATAATACTCAAATTTATTTCTGTGGCACCATTTTTGTTATGCCAATATTTTTTGTGTCTCCGGTTCTTCTTAACTTATTTCGGTCATCGATATCTTATTTCCCTAGAAATAAATCATTATTCAACTCGAAATAAATTGTTACAACTTAAGTTCCGAATTTTTGATGGTGCAGATTAAAATATATATATACACTTAATAGGATGCGTTGCAAACTTTTAATTTAAATTATAATATATATAAACTATAATTTTCCACATTAATTCAAATAAAATAATATTATATCAGTATTGCATTGTACTCAATAAGACAATTTTTGACTCAACAGTCAAATATTAATTTTTACTATTCCATTGTATCAGTTTACCTGTAATACTGATAAGACCAGATAGCTTTAAGACTAAAAAATCAGTTTGCGTAGAAGCGGACAGACGGGCATCATACGGACTATCAGATCGACTCTGTTAGTGATGCTAATCAAGAATATGTACATATTACACATCCCGACAAAACCTGACACTGCTTTAAGTATTATTCAACAATTTTTCAGCATAAATTGGCTTTCCTTTTTACTTAAGTAAACATGGGCGTAAGTTTTAAGTCTGCGGAGGGGTTTTAAGACAACTATAAAATATTAGACATAGATTTATAAAAAACTGTTTAAATGTATTTTTATTATTAACGATTTATACTGTTAACGTCGCAGCACTACAATTCGTAAATAACAATAAAAGTTCTGCATATAAATGTTTAAAGGTTATTAAGGTTGACTTAATATATTACAGGGGTTTGAACCCTCTTAAAGTCTCAAATACTTCGTCCGTGTCCTTAAAAAAATTTACAACTACTTGGACCTTATTGAAAAATTTTACATAAAATAGTGACAGGTTTGGGCACAGCTTGTGAATTGTGATTGGGCAAAAAGTATGAAAAAAAATGTTTAAACATCTGAAACAGCTAGAGAAATATGTTCAATGTCTCAAATGATATGAACGCATTTTATTTGATTTTTAAACGCTGTTCACAAATTGATATTTTTTAGTTTCTCTGTGATTTTTAAAATTAAAATGCTTATATGTATATTCGCTTCTGCTTAAGTTAGGAAAGCAAATCATTCATAAAGATATTACTAAACTAAAGAATAAACAAATTGATTTTCTTAAATTAAAATTACAGTAAATACCAGAACTAATGTACTACAGCTGTAGTGGGAAACTATGCTTAGAAAAGTATAATTATATGCGCTTGGGCTTGAAAAAAACTTCTGTTCGCCTGTTTTATTGAGTCTGTGATTTTTCTTTGAATGCGTTGCAAACTTTAAACTTAAATTATTAATAATGTTAAAGTTCACACTTTATTTAGAAACGAAAAATTTTAAAACTTATTTTAAATATGTAATCTCCGACAATTTTCGGGAAGGTTGGCTTAACGTCCTACCAAAAATTCGTAGTTGCCACAGAATTTGTGGAGTTTTTATGTGTGTTGGAGTAAGCAATTGTTTATGCGCCTTATACCCTCGAAGAGGGTATTATAGTTTCAGTCAGAAGTTTGAAACGCAGAAAAGGAGACATTTGCGACCTTATTAAGTACATATATTCTTTATCGGCATCACTAGGAGATCTAGCCATGTCCGTCCGTTTCAACGCAAACTAGTCTTTCAGTTTTAAAGCTATTTGCGTGAAACTTTCCCAAAATTTGTCCTTCTATTGCAGGTAGTAAGTATTAGTCAAAACTGTACGAGTTAGCTTCCATAGGAACAATCGGCAAAAATTAAAACTTTGCTATTTAAAATTTTATTTTTAAAAAGTAACGGTCTCAAATTTATTTTAATCGACCGACTATAGCATATAGCCGCCATGGGATCAATCGGAATATAAAAAAAAAACAAGAAGGGAAACAAACTTTGGCGATCTGAAGTTCATATACCCTTGCAGCTATTGCAAAAATGTAATATTCTTAATAACTTTTAAAATTTAGATTTATTTGCGTATAGGTCTAAAAACATTTAAGTTATGTTGATTTTCAGTTCAAGTATTTGATTGTTCGTATGGCTGCTATATGTTATTGTTTAATTTTTTGTGGGATACAATTTGAAATTCGTCTGAAAGAGATTTTTGAGACATTCCAGAACATAATAGTTTGTCCAGAATGTTCGTAACACAACATTTTTAATGATATCCTTCAATTTTGACTCACAGTCTTTTCAAATAATTATTAGTGGTCCTCATTATAAAAATCTCGGTACATATAGAAAATATAATTATTTAACTATAATTTATAATTATTTAACTGATAAATTTTAAGAGAGAGAATTCGTTTTCTGACGGACCAAAAAAAAAAGCAAGAAATTCGTATGAATCACGTACACGCCTTTGGTCTGCACGGTGTATTTCCCTTTCTCCTAGTGTAGCTATGGCACGTTTAACATGCAATTCCACTACATAGATGGCCTTTTATACTTCAGCTACGGACATTAAGCATGTCGCTGTTGTGTGTTGGGCATTCCAAATTTTCTTTCACAAGAAGTTCGGCGAAATAAAACGGCTAAGTTCACTTAGAATAATTATAATCTATACTTGACTGCAATTCACCTTAACGATTTTCTGCTACCTGCTATTCAGATTTTGTCTAGTGTTAGTTATTCGTTCGGATAGTAGTCGATAGACTTCTTAGAAACTTTTCACGACCTTATCACCTTATCAAAGCAAGTGGGCAAATAATAGGCTTCCTCTCTATCACTTTTATAGGTGTCGGTTAAGTTCTATCAACTAAAGAAAACTCATTGAAAAAGAAAGCACTTTTCATCAATAGACTTTACCACTTTAAATTTACAATTTACGTCTTTATTCTGACTTTCTAAAACATTACTGTTTTAAAAACTTCACTTTTCTATTCGAAAAAAATCGAGGCCTTTATATGCAATAAAATAAGCAAAAAAAGTGAACGCATGCTGCATAAATAACATTTGTTGGGAAAAATGTTTTTTTTAACTGTACTAAAATAAAACAAATATTATTGGCTGAACAAATGATTGTGTCCAGTAGCTAGTTAGCAGACAGTAAATTATAAATAAGACTTTATTCTTGTACATATATGGTCTTCTCAAAGACTTCCACCTTTTTCACCGAAGATAAAAAGTAAACAAGTTGTTTTGATAAAAACACACCAGCTTTACTGTTGGCAAAGGCCGCAAATTTCATTTGGTTACACAGCTTGCTTGGTAGTTGAGTGTGCATTCCATCTCGCCAGAGCCAATATCATTTATGTGTCTATTTAAAATACGTTTTTAAAACTTATTTCACTGGTAAATATTCGAACACTCCTGCATTGGGTTACTTAAAATCAGCACCAAAAAGTTGGGGGCACAAACTGGTATTTTATGTAAGACGGATTTTTGACCGCTAATTCGGGTTTTGAGCAGGTTTGCTCTGCAGGTTATTGGCGATTATGTTATTACTAAACAATTTAATTAAAGTTTGCCGCGCTGGCATCGATACAAACGCACAACGTTGCGTTTCATGCTTTTGACAGCGGACATGATTTGAATTCACTTTGTGACTATGTAATGACCAACACCCGCACAGCTATTAGGCCTGTGTTTTGTGGGTATAACGACACCACCTTTCTCTTTACTTGACTCACTTGATTTGTAATTTGCAGTGGGATGCAGTGCCCGGTCTTAGCTGTTCAACAGGTTGTGTCTGGGCTTGGTTGAAATCAGGAAACTCTCGCACTGGCGTACTTCGCTGTTAAAACAACACTGAGACCAGATCAAAAAGCAGCGCACACTAAATGTGGCTTTTTTATGGGCCCTCGCCTCTGCTGCGCCACCAGCACCGTCGATAGCACGATCCACATCGATCGTTAATGTCAAAGAGTCTTGCCAACTCCACTTCAACACACGCACACCCTGCCGAGAGCGTGCAAAGTCGGCTCTTACGACGATAAGTCGTCGTCGCAGTTACTCTTTAGGAGCAAGCTACACTCTTAAAGTAAAATCTTTACCACTTTTGAGTTTTTTTAACCCCAAATGTTGCACATTCGGTTGGATAAGCTCAGCATACGCCGCGACTTAATGGTGCTGGTTTACGGTTCATTATACTAAGAATAGCAGACTATTTGGTAAAGAATCGCACCGATTTTATTTGTCAAAAATTAATAATATCAGGCAAATTTGTGGTAAGTTGTAAAAAAATACACCGAGAAAACAAAATTTTTTAAAATGTCGTTTAAAAAAAAAATATTACGCTTTATAAATTTTGAAAGAAAGGATCTTAAAAATTTTAGATTCATTTTATATTTACCATGTGAAAACGCGATCAAGCTAAAATTTATCTTCGAATCTATAGTTCTCTGTGTCTTGTAATTTCGGTTTAAGCTGGATTTAAAGGTATATTTAGTTGGATATTGTATAGCATTAAATGCAACATTTTTGGGTATTATATACTACTGTTTTTTCTCAAATTTTAAAAATGACAAGGCTACCTTTAACATATCTTGAAAAATGCATATACTGTCTTTTGTTAATTAATTGTCTTTTATTTCAAGACATGTTAGAGCGTGCCTTGACTTTTTTATAAAAAATCCAACCTAATATACATTTCATTACTGTTTAAACCGAAATTAAAACACAAAGATTCGACTGTAGATCCGAAGGGAAATTGATTCAATTGGAGATATATTTTTAAGAGGAACTTTAAAATTAGAGAAACATTCACTCATAATAATAAATCTCAAGAAAATATAAATTAGCTTTACAACTTTATTTTTTTTAAGTCCTCAAAATAATTTCAAGTTTCAAGAATTTTTTTCTTAAACTATAACATTTTTTTTTCAATGTAGAACTTATCGCCATAAAAACATATACATATATATTTAAGTAAAATTGGTACTTGCTTTCCGAAACTATCCTAATATTAGGATTGCTTCCATAAAATGTTAGTTAACCTAAAAATATCAATATTTTTTTATTTTAGTAAGTATTCCTGAAAATTCTCTACCGTACTCTTAGATTAACTATAAGAAACAAAGAAATATTTTTTAAAGTATATAAATGTTTCTATAATGTAGAAATTAATTTCTTAAATTTCGTACTCTGACCATTAAATGCAACTAGTCCTTTTTCTTAAAAAAGATACATTTAAACTGTGCTCGTTGATTCTTGATTTGCTTTCTTGGTTTCAACGAAAGTCAACTCGTTTACACCCTCCCAGCGCCGAAATTTCCATTACGAAATCGATTACGAATGCATTTTTCCACCTCCATTAATCAGGAGAGAATGAATTACAACCTTGATTACTTGGCCATGTCTATACAATATACAAAAAAAAAACCAAAATATTCTATCCCTAAGTAGGATCGAACCAGGATCGAATTTCTACTGTGTGGACGTTCTTACCACTGGGCCACAACCTGATTATATTTTAATTCCTTAACCTTACCTAAAAGAATATGGTTGTTGTTGGAGTCCCCAAGCACAAATGTGACGGAGGGGAAAAGAAATAACGAAGTCGTGTTACCATCGATTACAAATTCGCTCACTGAAAAATTGTTAGCCTAGGATTGAACCCGGGACCTGTAAAGCTACCCAATGTTTCACGTCACTATCACCCTGGGCTTTCAAGAGCGTTGACTAAAATCTCGCAAAAGTATGCGATACGGGCTCAAAAGTGATTAAAAACGGGTCGCAAAGGGGAAATAAATGTGGCATGGTTTATGTTCTATCTAAATCCGTTTGCAAACATTTAGCGAGACTTCAGTCATTGCTCGTTGATTTATATCATTTTTAAGTTCGGTTACTAACATTTTACGATAGTTTCGTTTTACTATCGTATTTGTGTCCACTGGGTAAGTTTGGAGTAACAAAATATTTAACTGTTTAGGTTAGGTAAGGTTAGTCCGGACGGCCCTCAGAAAGGGTCTCGCATAGGCCAATGTCGTTAGCGCTTCTGCCCGTTTCTACAGAGCGCTTTGGTGGGATGTCAGGGAGATGAGCACGTCCTCTGCTCTGTCATTTGCGAGTCCTACGCCATCCTTTGCTAGTACGTCCGCGGTCTCGTTGCCATAAGTGCCCTGGTGACTGGGAACCCAGTAAATCCGCACTGCCTTAGCATTGCTGAGATATCTAGTCAATCCCTGCTCGCCAGTATATTTTTAGAGCAGATCGTGGACGACTGCATGGATCTTATCGCTGCTTGGCTGTCTACAAATAAGTTGACCAAGCCATGTGGACTTTCTAGGTTTGGTGCGACCTCTGCTGTTGAGCTGATGGCAAAGACTTCTGCCTAGAATTTTCTGCATTGGGTCGGTAGGTTATAGGATAGAAAATATTTTTTTGTCAAATCTAAAATGTTTTCACGAATACTACCTAAACATAAAAAGAAAGGAAGCCAACCTCAGAAACCCGAAGCTTATATATTCGGTTGCATCTATTGTTAATCTTAAATATTCTAAAAATCAAATTATATGAGTTTATGATTAAAAACATTGGAGCTTCAATGATGTCAGCTCAATTATTAGATCGTACCTATGCCATTGTATGACATCATTCTCCGATTTGAACAAAACTAAAAGCGTAATTCTGATTTATAAAACCATTACCATACCTAAAAGAATTACAAAAAATTGAAAAATGGAGAAGATATATATTTTTAAATATATTTTTCTTATACCATTGCAGGGCTATTTAAGTCAGAATTTTGCATTGCTGTGAAGGATCCTATAAAGTCTGTCAGTCCGTCTGCACGTCGTCAGTCCGCCGGTCCGTCCGTCCGTTTCTACGCAAACTAGTCTATCAGTTTTAAAGCTATCTGCATTAAACTTTCCCAAAAATTGTCTTCCTGTTGCAGGTAGTATATAAGTCGGAACGAGCCGGATTGAGCAACAACGGCTTTCCTCGACTCGCAATCAAGCCAAACGTGGTGCAAAAAAAAGAGCACCTCAAGTGTACTGTCCACCAAAAGCCAGAGAGCACGAACCTGCTCTCCCGACCTTCTAGTCCCAATTCCAACGTCCACCAGAGCTTCTGATACCTAGTCCACCAGCAACAACAGCAACCGCTCCTCAAGGTCGAGCTGGAGCCGGGCAGCAGAACTTTGAAGAATAACAAACAAATAACAAAACCCGATCAACAAATCACAGGGTTTGTTGCATCGTAGGACCACCGTAACAAAGCCTCACAAACTGAACGGACCATTGAACTGCCAAAATTAAAAGGAGTATGATCATAACAGGTCTCACTGCACCCTATGATCAGTCTGTGGAGACTTCCACAACTACGACCCTTGCTCTGAAGACAAAAAAGACTCTCAAATGACCGAAAGCGGCACGATCAGGAAACACACAAAGTGTTTACTTTACCTCTCGAATGACAAATGCAGTCTTCTTTTACGTAGGAGCCAGATCCCCTTTTACGCCTTAAATAACCACCAAAAGCATCTCCTTTGCCAGTGCCAGTGACCCGAGAATTAAAAACATTCAGCAGTGCATGAGATAGCTGTATAGCAGTCATTCATGAAATCCACTATGCAAATCCTTATGCAAAATCAAAATATATTCATACAGATGCAAGCATCTCAGAAGACCAAATAAACTACATAGCATCAAACACCAATTTCACAAAAGATTGTGAGAGTGTAAAAATCATGTATATAAAATACACTTGGTCCCTCATATTTTGTCGGCTTCTGCCAATAATCTGAACCGATAGTAACAAGTAAGCAGAACCAATAGTTACAACTGAGCAGAACCGATAGTAATAAGTGAGCAGACCCCGATAGTAATAAGTGGGAAGAACCGATAGTTAGCGAGTGGGCAGAACCGATAATGACCTCAGCAAGACTGAAAAAAAGCTAGAGTGGATCTGGAAAGCTCGCTTTCCATCTGTCAAATGCAACCGCATGGCCTCGTTCTTTCTCTTGAAAAACTCGCCAAGCTCGGATGTGTTATCTGATATACATATATAAATCAACAGTTGACGGTCAGAAGGCGCGATTTAAGCAACCAAGTGACTCCGTTAAAGAGAAAGAGAATCGGAGAAAATTCCCGCTTTTGATCAAACTTGCAGCTGGGGTAAGCCGCCCCGTGTTAGGTTACCCAGTCGCCCGCTTTCCCCGTCCTCACAGCCGTCTTAAAAAGGAGAGCCTACGTTCAGGGTCATCCCGAGGATTGCCAACCAACATCATATCGACTGTCCGAATCGCTTCCACAGCTATTTGGTCCAGTGAATATTCTCCAACAAGTTTTTACAACAGCCCGGCTGCAGTGTCCTGTACTAGTCTAGCGGTAAAAGCCGACTTTATCGCCAGATCCGTTTCGAGGCTACACTGGATGCAGAATCCGTTAAGTACTTGAACTCCTGTGGGGGTTGTAGCATATATTTAGATATAAGTGCTGTCGGGCCGCCTATCGCACTTAGAATGATCCCATGCTCGGGTCGCAACATTGCCCCTACAAAGCGTCGGTCTTTAGATACGTTTATAAGCTCGAAAATATTCAAATAAAATTCAGTTTGAAATTATAACTCAACAAATGTGGACGTCTTTTATTAGACAGTTTTTACATATAGGTCCGTCGAGGCACTCTGTAGTTTTCCCCCACCAGTGGTAAGAGACTCAGAGTTTTTAAACCAGCACCTTAGAGCCTGATTTGTTGCGGGCGCACGATCAGCTAAAGGTTGCAAAAATAAAAATACAAGTTAAAATCTTGTTAAAAATAAGCCAAACGGGCACAATTCTGGAAAATTAAGGGGAGTGTTACGCGACGTTGGCGTTACCAA